TCATAGCAGAGAGCTGGATCAGAAGTGGAGCAGCTGGGACTCAAACTGGCGCCCATATGGGATGCTGGTACTGCAGGAGGTGGCTTTACTTGCTATGCCACAACACTGGCCCTTCTTCTCCCTTTTAAAAGCCTAGTAGCATATAGAAAAATGCCCTCATCTGGCGCCGTGGCTCTCTTGGCTAATCCTCTGCCTGTGACGCTGATACCCTGGGTTCTAGTCCCGGTTGGGCTGTCAGGTTCTAGTCCCAGTTGCTCCTCTTCCAGTCCAGTTCTCTGCTGTGGCCTGGGAAGGCAGTGGAGGATGGACCAAGTGCTTGGGCCCTGCACCCCATGGGAGACCAGGAGAAGCACCTGGCTTCTGGCTTTGGGTTGGCACAGTGTGCTGGCCGTAGCAGCCATTTAGGGGGTGAACCAATAGAAGGAAGACCTTTCTCTCTGTCTCTATCTCTCACTCTCTAACTCTGCCTGTCCAAAAAAATAAAGAAAAATACCCCCATATATTTTCCTACCTATATTTCTCTTTTACTATTGGGTTGATATTTCTGCGGAAATAATGTATTTAGTTCTGGGGATATGGACTTATCTTTATAATTTCACTTTATAATAGGTACATATGAGGCTGCTCTAAATTGAATGTTTTTTCTCCCCAACATTTTTTTAAAGGTTTATTTATTTATTTGAAAGTCAGAGTTACACAGAGAGAGGAGAACCAGAGAGAAAGAGAGACGTCTTCCACCTGATGGTTCACTCCCCAGATGGCTGCAATGGCCAGAGATGTGCTGATCCAAAGCCAGGAGCCAGGAGCTTCTCCCAGGTCTCCCACATGGGTGCAGGGGCCCAAGGACTTGGGCCATCTTCCACTGCTTTCCCAGGCCACAGCAGAGAGCTGGGTTGGAAGAGGAGCAGCCAGGACTAGAACCGACGCCCATATGGGATGCTGGTGCTTCAGGCCAGGGCGTTAACCCAAGGCACCACAGCACTAGCCCCTCCCCCAACATTTGCATGTTGAAATCTTCCCCCTCAAGGCAATGATTCTAGAAGGTATGGCCCCCAGAAAGTACTTGAATCTGGTCCTGAAGTTGGAACCCTCAATGCTGGGCTTAGCGCTGACAGCAGAGATCACACAGAGCAGCCGCATCCCTTGCCCTGTGAAACCAAAGGCAGAAGTCACATCTACATACTGGGAAGTGGGCCCTCATCAGACATGGCATCTGTAGGTGTCTTGGTCTAAATTTTCCAGTCTCCAGAACTGTTGAGAAATGAATCTTGGTTGTTTAGAAGCTACTTTGTGGAATTCTGTTAGAACAGCCAAACTGACTGAAATGGGGGCTGTCAATGCATCCACTGTAACAAAGGAATCAATGAGCCAACAGAATGCGGACTGTGGATACAGTCAGAACTTCCACTCAGGCAGGGAACATTAGTGGGGACTTACTTTTCCTCCCTCTCCTTTGTTAACGCTGCTGCAAACGTGCCTGTGGGCCAGGCTGAGGCCGAGAGGGAAGCAGCAAAGAGGTGGGAAAGGACAGCACAGCCGTGAGGGGTAGCAGGCTGTCACAGTGTCCTCTGTAAGGGCGTGAGTCCTTATGGCCGAGGAAAAACCATCTGTGACAAGATGTCAACAATTTGTGAATGCCTTGTCATTGTACTGGAAGGTCTTTCAAAAGACTCCTTCAATTTATCCATACGGAAGGTCACCTCGATGAGACATAATCTGATAAAAATTAAGAAGATCACACAGTTTTAGTCTGAAACGTTGGCATGGATGAGGGTGGCAGGTCCATCCAGACATTTGGTACAATAAGGTTTTTAGGATCCATACGTTTTGTCTTACAAACAGCTAAAGGACAAGTTAATACAGACAGCCTAAACTGTATGTGAAAGAAAGAAAGAAAATTAGTTCCTGGGAGATGGTATCTAACAGTTTAGAAGAAATCAAGACAGAAAACAGGAGTCACACGCATTTCCTTTAAAGAACAAAGATTCCACCCTTTGCTTTCCTCTCCAGTTAATCTAATCCACACAAAATGAAAAGATATCTGTTTCTCCCTTTTCCCTCAAGTAGATCATTTTCTCTACAAATATTGGTAAAATCCCAGCACGAATAACTGAATTTGAATTTAAAATAACACTGTGAACCAGCACGGGGTCAGATGCTGACACAGAGGTAGAGGGGGTGCTGGTGCTGAACTTGCTGATAATTCTGTCACCTGGTGTATGTGTTGACATTGAGACTGATGAGAGGGCAGCTGTGGATATATCAGAGAGGCTGGCAATAATAAAAAGGAGCAGGAAGAGAGTTGAGGGAAGCTAAAAACACAACTGTGATACAGTGACATAGGGCACAGGCGTCTCACATTTTGACCCATTAGAGTTATTGCAATGCTGATAGAAGGCACGCATGCACACAGAGAAGAGGAACAAATTGGAGACGGCAAGAAGTTCACCTTGCTCACCTCTAACAGTTCAACAAAAGGAATTAAGAGGCTGGGGCTCACGACTTATTAAAGAAGAGGATTTGCCTTAGTCACCAAGGGACTAGCCCCCAAATAGCACCTAGCAGAAGGGTCTTAAGGCTCAAGAAAATGGGAAATGCACAATAGATCTTGGGCTATAAACAAAGGCTTTTGTATTTAATGAGTATTGATTATTTGAGAATGGAAGAAGTCTGAACGATTCAAAACTATATATTTTGGAATCCACAAAACATAAGAAAGGCTTTAGTTGGGTTTACTTTCCAACTCTTTGTAAATAAGAATAAAAAGGAAGGGAACTCTTGAAATATTTAAGCAGAAAATCTTACCAAATATCTCAAAGCACTTTGTACTCGTTCTCACTAAAAACAATGTATGTGCCTATTGCAAATAACTTTTAACCATTTGTTTTAACCATTTTTTAACCATTTGTTACCTAACAAATATTTTCCTGTTTTAAAGTTCTCTTAAAGACTTAACAATGATAAAATGTTATATTTAAATGATATATTTTTAAAGATTGATTTATTTGAAAGGCAGAGTGACAGAGAAGGAGAAAGAGGGAGAGAGAGAAAAAGAAAGACATCTTCCGTTCTCAACAGAGAACTTCCCAAATAGCTGCAACAGCAGCGGCTGGCCTGGTCAAAGTAAGGAGACAGGAACTCCATCTGGGTCACCTGCATGGATGGCAGGGCCCAGGTACTTGGGTCATTCTCCCCTGCTTTCCCAAGTATATTAGCAGGGAGCTGGATCACAAGTGGAGCAGCAGTGACTCAAATATGCTCCAACATGTTAGAATCCCTGGTGGCAGCTTAACAAGCTGTGCCACAAGGCTAGCCCCAGTACTGCTTTATGTTAGTCCAAATTCACACTAAAATATTGAATTGGCTTGATTGGATTCTGCAATTGGTTGAACACATTATAATTTTACTGTTCACTTAATAAAGAGCTCATAATTTCTATAATTTTTTCTATAAGTTGTGCAATATGTGTGTGAGGGGTCTTTTAAGACATCCAAACAGTAAAGAAGTCAATGAAGTTTGTTTTTCTCTTTTCCTAATGAGAGAGAGAAAAAAAGAGAAATTCCAGTAAACTCAGAGTTTGGGATGGATGCTTTAAAATAGCTAGCAGAGGATGAAGTATTTTTGCTATTTGTCTGATAAAGGATGTCCTTTTCTAAGGATATGTCCTGGTATTTTCAAGTATGCGGGCTTCCCTATGCTATGATGGTCACATTCCAATACTTTGTATAGATATAGGAGATTGTCGGTAGGGATTCCATGAGAAAAAGGTCCAGATGTGTTACAAACATTGCAAGAACCCCAGCAGGACTATGCAATTCTGTTTCACTTGCCAAAGTCAGTATCTCAAACCTTAGCACTGTTGACTAGGTGACTTAAATTACACAACTGATATTTTGTGCCCTTGCTTCTAGATTGTCTGCATGCACCCCATCACATCACTGTTCTGTTCAGGCAAGGCTGGGCATGTTCAGAGTGGCATGGCCGTGGACACTGTTCTATTCCAACACCTTCACACGCCTGATTCTCCAGCTACTTGCAAAGCAGGCCATGCACGAGCCTATTCTGCCCCTTCCTGCTGAGTGCTCCAAATATAATCCTTTCCGCCTCAAAGGACGGTGCACTACAAAGCTCACAGTTTCTCAAGTATGAATACACACACGTGTACACATGTGCATATGTACTAATGTACTGCACACATAATACTTTATGCTGGCAAGGAGGATGGATTGACTCTGAATGGAGGGAGCAGTTTAAAAATGAGAATTTGTATTTAAATTTAATTTTTAAAATTTTTAGTTTTTAACAGATTCGATATAGTCTGTAGATACAATTCTATGACTATGATGACGTGGGGCCAGTGTAGTAGCACAGCGGGTTAACGCCCTGGCCTGAAGCGCTAGCATCCCATATGGGTGCCGGTTCATGACCCGGCTGCTCCACTTCTGATCCAGGTCTCTGCTAAGGCCTGGGAATGCAGTGGAAGATGACCCAAGTCCTTGGGCCCCTGCACCCACGTGGGAGACCCAGAAGAAGCTCTGGGCCCCTGGCTTCGGATCGGTGCAGCTCCAGACGTTAAGGCCAACTGGGGAGTGAGCCATAGGTGGAAGACCCACCACCCTCTCTGCCTCTCCTCTCTCAGTGTAACTCTGACTTTCAAATAAATAAATAAATCTTTAAAAAAAAAAAGAAAAATATGATGATGTCCTTTCCTCCTTCCTTCCCTGCCTCCCTCTCCCTTTATTTCTAGTTTTAGTTATTGAGATGTTTCAAATTTACATTACAGTAAAAAGTATTAATGCTTCACCAAATACGATTTTTGTGAAACCAGTGGTTAAGAATATTTACTACTATAGTCTTAATGAGGTGTGATTACTTCAAAATTTACCATATAAAGGTGAAATGGTCATTTTTCCATTCGATTATTGTTTGTAACATAATAGTTTTTTTCAATAGGCTTTTTTTTTTTTTGACAGGCAGAGTTACACAGTGAGAGAGAGACAGAGAGAAAGGTCTTCCTTTTTCCATTGGTTCACCCCCCAGGTGGCTGCTACAGCCGGCGCACTGTGCTGATCTGAAGCCAGGAGCCAGGTACTTCCTCCTGGTCTCCCATGTGGGTGCAGGGCCCAAGGACCTGGGCCATCCTCCACTGCACTCCTGGGCCACAGCAGAGAGCTGTCCTGGAAGCGGGGCAACCGGGACAGAATCTGGTGCACCAACCAGGACTAGAACCTGGGGTGCCAGCGCCACAGGCGGAGGATTAGCCTAGTTAGCTGCAGCGCCGGCCAACATAATAGTTCTTAATAACTCATATTATTATCTCGTTTGTTTTCTTGGGAAAAAGGCAGGCAGAGGTAAAATATATATCTTTACTTAGAAGTGGAAAAATGTCTGTGTATGTGTATGTGTGTGTTTGATTTGGTTTTGTTTGTGAAAAATTCCCTGGAGAAAAACAGCAATATAATGTGTTCATAATTATTAAAAAATACCATGCTTGATATTCCTGCTCACTATTATGGATTAGAGTCTGATCAAGGAGAGCTAACAGGTAGGCTGGTACTCTTTTTGTTAAATTATCCAAGCAGTGAAATTGTGGTTCATTACCTTCATCATTCTTTCCTTTGTAGAGGGATTGGATATCTTAATTTCTCAACTGGTCAATAATAATGCACAGGCCAGCGCCGCGGCTCACTTGGCTAATTCTCCACCTGCAGCGCTGGTACCCAGGGTTCTAGTTGGGTTGGGGTGCTAGATTCTGTCCCGGTAGTTCCTCTTCCAGTCCAGCTCTCTACTGTAGCCTGGGAAGGCAGTGGAGGATGGCCCAAGTGCTTGGGCCCTGCACCCACAGGGGAGACCAGGAGGAAGCACCTGGCTCCTGGCTTCAGATCAGCGCAGTGCACTGGCTGTAGCGGTCATTTGAGGGGTGAACCAAAGGAAGGAAGACCTTTCTCTCTGTCTCTCTCTCTTACTCTCTAACTCTGCCTGTCAAAAAAAAAAAAATGATAATGCACATACCTGGAGAGGCATAATTGATTGAGAATGCTGCTTGCGACTCCTCCAGGTCTTATCAGAGTGCCTGCATCTCTACTCGGCTTCCTGCTGATGTTCATGCTAGGAGGGAGCAGATGACGGTTCCACTAGCTGTGTCCTGCTACCATGTGGGAGATCTATAATGAGTTTCTGGATCATGGCATCAGCCTGTCCCAGCCCTTGTTGCTGTGGGTATTTGGGGATCGAACCAGTTGATGGAGATCTTTGTCTATCTGTTTGTCTTTGTCTCTGTCTCTCTGCCTTTCAATAAATACGTTTTAAATCTTTAAAATATAGTCCATGTACCCATTGTTGTCCATCTTCCACATTACAGAGGAAGGCAGCAGAAGCATATGTGTTCTATGTAAAGAAGTGAGGGTAAGGGCAGAAGGCACCTGGTTCCTGGATGAAAAAAGGCAAACCAGAATCTTCTAGTGCATTTCATTAGCACTCTTCATTCCTTACCTCTGCTACTAAGTAGTTGTGTAAAAGAAGACAAGGCATATACCCTATCCATCAGATTTTTCTTTGAAGAAAGATCATAACCCTTTTGAATTTGAGATATTAGGAGGTAGGTACACCCTATAATTTAAAGCTATTAAGTTCAGATATTCAAAGTAATTCTGGAAATGTCTACATTCTTTAATCTTGTCTAGAACTGATGGGTCCTCAATTGCACTGAATATATCAAAGAGCTTAACTTTTTTCTCCTTTTGACCATGATCTTTCTCCTTACAACACTCTCAACATTCCTGTTGTTAATGGCAAATGCTGTCCACTTTTAATTTATCCTGTATGTTCGAAGATAAATGCAATACAAAATTTTCAGCTCTCTATAGCTAATTTGTAGGAAAAAATTTTTAAATAATCTAGAAAAAATGAAAAAAATAGAAAAGATGCAGCAGTGAGTATGGTGAGCATATTAATAAAGTAGCTCCAATGTACCTTCTTGGGAGTACACTCGTTAAAGGGTTTTTAAGTGTTTATTTAGCAAATACCACAAATATGAGGATTTAAGTAACAAAAAAGGGAATTTATACCACGGCAGCCATAACAAGCTGAAGTTAATTCATCAAAACTTTCACATAAGCCTTTGTGGGCAGTTGGCCAGGCCTAGCACATTATCTGTTTGACTCACTGAGTCACTGCAGCTAATGGAATTTAGCCCCATGTTTGTTGTTGCCATGGCGATGCGATATTCTCAGGCATGTCATGTTCACAGATCAGTAGCAGCACACGGTTGCAAACACACAACTGCTCTCAGCCTTTGACCATCCCCAGGAATTCACTCTGCAGTGGGTCTGCCAGGAAGGAAGTCAGCTCCAGCAAGGAAAGTCAGGGCTGGGGAGGGCGACCCTTCCTTCTTCCTTTGTCATCTCAGTGCCTTTATCATTAAAATAACCTTGAATTTTCATGAATTCACTCATTCACAAACACTGTCAAAGAAGGTCCAAGAGTTCAAGAGAATCCAGAGGGTCAAAGAGAGGACTAGTTTTAAATCTGTGCCTATTGAACCTGGAAATGACATCGTCTGTTAGTTATAATCTTATTCTTACCATAGCAAATCAAATCGTGCTGACTGGCACCAATGTCCAAGGCGATTCAGCACCATGAAAGGTTACGGGGAGCCAAGGGGTCATATCCTTTGTGGCACCGCTCTGAGAAATAGACACAGACATGTGTGGGAATATTCTGCAAAGAATAGATTTCTCCCCAAAGTAAGAAACAAATCCTGCTGGCAATCTATAAAGGGAATGGGTATTCTATGCTATAGAAATATTCGGATTTCAAAGCAAAGGTATAATTAGGAGGCTTTCAAGATCTAAAATGTTTGAACAAGTCACAGGTATTGTGCAAGATGTTCTAATTTGTATGTAAGGAGTGATAGAGGTAAGACAGGATGAATTTTCTGGAAAGCATTTTTGCCAGTTGGAAATACACTTCTATTAAATAATGTATAATTTCTGTGAGGTGTGAAATATGCTAGTAAATCAGACAAAGTTAAAAACACTTCTGTAAATGTTTGACTATATAGTCCAATACAGGGTCTAGGGTTAATTATAACAAAACAGCTTCACAATGGCCCCCAGGATTCTCTTTTGTGCTGTGTCTGTACTGCTGATCCAGATTGTGGGAATCTGGAGAGCTCAGTAGCAGCTTACCAGGCTGCATCAGGGACTGCAGTAGAATTTGGTTCTATAGATGCATTCTTCCTGATTGAAACCTGAAATCAAAACCAAGACTTCCAAAATGAGGACACTAGTCCAGCATTTACTGTCCTATCGAAGATAAGCTAGAGACAAGGGAAAGCGAGGGAGGGGGCAGGTTCTTCTTAATTGCTTTTGTTTGGTTGCTACTGTAATAGTTAAAGGACACAGCATTTGCTGACTTGGCTCAGAATTTCAGGTTTGGATGACCATGTATTCCTGAAGTTCTCTGAATTTAGCTTAGAGAACAAGCCTGTGGGAAGGTGGCCTTTGTTACTCATTCTGTGGTCCAGGATGATATAATGAAATAAAGATGTGTTCTCTGCCATTCTCAGACATACAGCACACGAAAGAGGTAATAGTCATCCCTCAGTATCTGAGGGGGATTGATTCCAGGACCCCTACAGAAACCCAAGTCAACAGATGCTCAAGTCCACTATGTAAATGGTATATTTTCATATAACTTAGGCATACCCTCCCATTTTGTTTAAACCATCTCTAGAGTACTTATAATATACTGTAAAGAACATGTAAATAGCTGTTTAGGGAATAACAAGAAAAATCTGTACATGTTCAGTACAGACATAATTTTCCTCTGAGTATTTTTGATGTAACCACAATATTGAAATAGCAGTTATTCCATTGTCAATATCATTATTTGAGCTTGAGAAAAGTGGCACTGAATGACTCACTTGGAGAATGAACATGCAACTTTATCAAATACAGGGCTATCAAAAATGACTCAATAGAGTTCCTTCCAGAAATTTAGAAAACAACACCTCATAACCCTAGGAATACCCAATCATACTCTGCTGTGGACAAAAAAAAAAAAAAAAAAAAACTCTTGGATAACTTTTTCACACATAGTATGGTTATTTAATGTAGCCTTAATAATAACTAATACATAACGCAGAGTTGTCATTATGTATTAAGTTGACTTGTGATAAATGGTAAAACGTAGGTTAGCATTGATATTACTTTCACAGTGTTCTTTAATTAGACAATCGTGAGCCTTTGAAATATTTGGAAATGCCCCCAAAGAAAGAGCCACAAGAGAAGGAAATGAAAGATGGCAGGGTAAAACATTTTCAAGTGGTCTAATGGGCTTCTAGTTTGCCCATTGGTTGGAAGATACAAGACAGAGTACTAATGAGAAAAAAGACCAAGAGAGCCACCCATGCAAAGCTCACCCACATAGGAGCTCAAAGGAAACTGAACCACCCAGACATGCTACCTGCTTGATCCATGTCAGGAAAGGGTGTTAAGGCACAGAAGGTTGCATTAAGCAGCCCCATGTACTGAGTTCCTAAGATTACAATTCACAAAGTCACAAATAATGAAACAAAGAAACAAGTTTTGTTTTTTACTGTTCTTTAAAAAATTTGTTTTCACTTTATTTGGAAGGCAGAGTGACACAGAGTGAAAGAGAGATCAAGAGATAGAGACAGAGAGAGAGAGAAGAGAGATCTTACAATCTCTGGGGTTTACCAAATGCCTGGAACAACTGGGGCTACGCCAGGCCAGGCCAAGGTCAGGAATATAATTCAATCTAAGTTTCTTATGTGAATGACAGGGACTTCTCAGGAGGTACATTAGCAGGAAGCCGGATGGGGAGTCAGAGCTGGGACTTGAACCTGGAATGTGGGTGTCCCAAGCAGTGTCTTAACCACTGCACAAATGTATGCTTCCATCCACCTTACTCTTGGACTGAAGAAGTGTCTTTTAACAGGTAGAGGAAGAAATACTTCTATGTACTGTGCACACAGTCGCCTGGGGTCCAAACCTCCAGATGTTTTCAGGGAAACATTTTCTGATGGCTCTGTCACCTACAGTGAAGGGAACTCAGGTGCCTGTGACCACATAACCATAGCTGGGAGTCATTGTACCCCAGGCTCTGTTTTCATACCATCTGTAGTCCTTGAATAGCAGCCCAATGCCCAAGTCAGGCTGTGGCTAACAGTTATTCTGGATCACTCATTTCCCACCCGTATGTTGATGGTGGGAGGGGGACTACTGACATTGTTAGATCCATACTTTTTTTTTTAAGATTTATGTATTTATTTATTTAAAAGTTAGAGTAACAAAGGGAGAGAGAGGGAAAAGCACACACATACACAGGCACAAAAAAAGAAAAACAGAAAGAGAAGGAGAAAGAGAGAGAGAGAGAGAGGGAGGGAGAGAGAGAGAGAGAGAGAGAGAATCTTCCATCTGCTGACTCACTCTCCCAAATGCTGCAATGGCTGGGATGGGCTGGACCAAAGCCAGGGGCATGGAGCTTCCTCTGGGTCTTCCATGTGGGTGCAGGGGCTCAAGTACTTGGACTGTCCTCCATTGCTTTCCCCAGCTCATTAGCAGGGAGCTGGATTGGAAGCGGAGCTTCTGGGACTCAAACCAGCACCCATATGGGATGCTGGCGCTGCAAGTGGCTGCCTTACTCACCATGCCACAGCTCCGGCACCTCTTAGATCTGTACTTAATGCAGGTGTGAATTTGTTCACACAACCATTACTCTACCTAAATCAGTGTCAGTTATAAATTTTCTAGGTTCCAGTACAAAATGAAAATGCAGAATCTTTTGTTTTAAAGAAACAAAAAAGCACATTTTCTTTACTGTTATCTTTCTCTCTCTCTCTGTATCTCTCTCTGTCTCTCTGTCTCTCTGTCTCTCTCTCTCTCTCTCTCTCTCTTTCACGCTGCCTCCCTCTCTCCCTCCCTTCCCTCCACCTGTCACAGTGATTTTTTTATTTGGTGTTTAAAGCCATGCTGCCTCAGACACAAAGATACTTGGGTGAGAACAGATCCTCAAAGCTACTTGGAACCCTACTATCCATGTGCCCAGTCCTCTGTCGGACACAAAACAGAGCAATCACTGTGCAGAGTCACAGCAGGGGGCAGTCAAGAGCTTGTCCAAAGGAGATGGACAGGGGCTATAGTGGGGTCCACACAAGTGGAAGCTCCTGGCCCCAGTGTATGTTCCATTGTCCCATCAAAGTCAGTGAAAACATGAAAACACAGATACAAAGATAAAATTATTAAGAGTTTTAAGATGGTATTTGCAGAGCATGAAGGCTGGTGTGTGTGTGTGTGTGTGTGTGTGATTGGGTTAAGGGGCACTTCTGAGTGTCGTCATTGATTCTGCTGGGCACAGGAAGCCAAGCCCTGCCTGTAATGAGAGTAATTATGCATCATTCTGGACTACAGAATATTCACAATATTCAGTTTCCCATTAAATGGATTTGAGGTCTCTTTTGATCCTATCATATTTCCCAATCTGTTCCTCTGTTAGTATACACCAAAATAAATTTGAAGATATATATGGGGGCCGGCAATGTCACATAGCGGGTAAAGCCAAAGCCTGCAGTGTCAGCATCACATATGGGCGCCAGTTCAAGTCTTGGCTGTTCCAATTCCAATCCAACTCTCTGCTATGGCCCGGGAAAGCAGTAGAAGATGGCCCAAGACCTTGGGCCCCTGCATCTATGTGGGAGACCTGGAGGAAGCTCCTGGCTCCTGGCTCCTGGCTTTGGATCAACACAGCTCCAGCTGCTGTGGCCAACTGGGGAGTGAACCAGCAGATGGAAAACCTCTCTCTCTCTCTCTCTCTCTCTCTCTCTCTGCCTCACTTTCTCTGTGTAACTCTGACTTTCAAATAAATCTTTTAAAAAAGATATTAATGATGTGCTTACAATGGATGGTATAATATTGGAAATAATAATGTTTATAATACTTTTTCAAGTATTTTTAGATGGCATGACTATGATTTTTTATTTATTATTGGGTGGGGGTTGGAGAGATATCCCCTCTGCTGTTTCACTCTCTAAATGCCCACAATGACTGGGATGGGGGTAAGGTGGACCAGGCTCAAGCCAGAAGTCTGAAATTGTACCAGCTTGCCCATGTGTGTGACAAGAAGCCAAGTACTTGAGTCATCTTTGCTGCCTCCCATGCTATGCATTATCAGGATGCTGGATCTGAAGTGAAGGCGGGACTCAAACACAAGCACTCCAATCAGAGACACAGGCATCTCACTTATGCACTAGACTAAATGCCTGCCCCCACTACATTTTAAAAAGTACCCACTTAGAGCTTTATGGGATCTCCGTTGTCAGCATTTATGTTGCCACACATTGTTCTTTCTCATTTCTGTGGTTCGAATCAATCTCCTACTACATTATTTTCAATCCCGCAATTTTAAAAAAGTTGTCAAAATAATTGTTCCCTGATAATATCTACTAGAAGCATGCATGCCCTCATACATAAATTGATACAAGCCATTGTGGAAGCCTCTCATAGCTGGAGTGTCATTACACAAATGGTATTGCTGAGACTCACAAAGTAAAATGAGTGAGCCCCAGAATAAATTCAAAAACCATAAAAATAAAGTGAAACCTGTTATGCACTGCAAGTAAGAGGCAGTGTATATTTTCTCAGCTTAAAACCAATTATTTTATTGTCCCAGGATTTTTTTTTTTTAATTTTCATCTCCTTCTAAAGGTTTCCTCATAGTCACTTAGCAGCAGCAAATTTATGCTCACTTTTATCCAATACAGGCTGCAAGTGTGCCCTTCACTCGACCCAGTCTGTTAACTTTCAAATGCCTAAAGCCAAACCTGACAGCAGAAGGAAATGTTTCTGGATTGTAGCTCCAAACTGTTGGAATAAGCCGCCTCCTACAACAAAAAGGAACAGACACATTACCTTTTATTTCAGGAGATGTTACGCTTTCCTTGGAAATGAAAAAGTTTCAGAAGAAAATGATGAAAAATCAATTTCTCTCTCTTTTTTTTTAGATGCCGGATTTGCATATTTGTGTGTGTGTGTGTGTGTGTGTATGCTCCATTGAAAGGTAACTACATTAATGTTGGCCCTAGGATTCTTAATCATATTAAAACATTTTGTACTTTTTTGTCCTATGTATGAAAAACTTCCATCTCATTCAGAAATACATGAATCTTCCCTCTGTTCTATTATTTTTACTTTCAAAAACTGAACAAAATTTTGAATAGCTACCATGCTTCATAATTACTTTTAGTATCCACAAGGTATTCAAAGATCTATTTTTTTAAACTCTTATTCTGATATTGAGCTCCTGGATAATTTGTCTCTCATTTCTGGTTTGTGTTTTACTTTGTCCTGTGCACTGGAGAACACTACCATTAAAATCAAGTCACTGGCCCCACAGCATTTGTTACTACTGTGCTATGCCGCAGTTTACAAAGGCAAATAAATAAAGCCTTTTTGAATCTCATCTAAATGTGGCTTATCCAAAGAAAGGTCAATCCCAACATGAAGCTGAGCAGTGGACTATGCATCTGGTGGTACTCACATTTTATTCTCCCAAATACCAACTCTCCTTTGTCTGCCTTCTACCATTCTGGCTTACATCCAGAAGATATTTGGTCTTCCTCAATTAAAAGCAATAACTATGAGCCCTCTATACGAGATGAAATATATGCACATTAATACTCTTCCATTCTCCTTATTCTCAACATAGTGCTAGATGTTTTTCTAGCTGTGAGCAATAATCAAAGACAAACAATGACATTGTCTCAGATTAGAGGAAGAGCAGAAGTTAGAAGATGCAAAGAAATATTCTGGATGCCTTGTCTTAGCACAGAAACAGCTCCTAGGGCTCTCTCCACCTCTTGTTTTGACTTTTTGTTCATGGATTTCAGAGGATAGACACAGGAGCTCCAATGATCATCTCCTTTATTCTCAGTTCACTAAGCATGGCCCCATTGCCTGCAGCCCCACAAGCCTCCTGAGGGACAGCACAGTACAAGGCTCAAGAGATGCTGTGTCACCAAACGATTCAGTGTCCAAACTCTTTGAGAAAGACCAAGAGCCTGTAGTTCACTTATTGAAACTTACAATATTTGCTGTACTTTAAGGACGCGATCAGATTCTGCTAAAAAGGAACCCCATTAGAAACGTCTGCAGGAGAGTTCCTCAGGTTATCTGATCAGGGAGTCTTTGTATAAGCAGCAGCCAAAGAGCACAATTTGGGAGAAACTCTGATCTTTAGGTGAAGGTCATGTGCATTAGACGGCCATCACCGCCCCACCCTCCACACCAGCCTCCTATCCCCTCAGCCTTACATTTCACCCTTCAGCCACACTGAATTGCTGTACTCTGATAACACGAGCTGCTGTTCTTGCAAGCAGCCTTTTCTATGTGGAGTACCTTGTCCTCACCTGTGCACCTGGCCCTCCTACTTAGACTCACTCCAGTCAGCTTTGGTATTCTTTGGCTATGTTATGGCAAGTTCTTCAGCAAAATGTCTGGTGTTGGTGTGTGACCTTGGGCAGGTCAGGAACAGTTTGCCTCTCCACATCTTTAGAAGATGAAGTTAAAAAGAGCACACAGCGTGGCCAGCGCCGTGGCTCACTAGGCTAATCCTCCACCTGTGGCGCCAGTACCCTGGATTCTAGTCCTGGTTGGGGCACCAGATTCTGTCCTGGTTGCTCCTCTTCCAGTCCAGCTCACTGCTGTGGCCTGGGAAGGCAGTGGAGGATGGCCCAAGATCTTGGGCCCTGTACCCGCATGGGAGACCAGGAGGAAGCACCTGGCTCCTGGCTTCGGATCGGCGCAGCACACCTGCCATAGTGGCCATTTTGGGGGGTGTACCAACAAAAGGAAGACCTGTCTCTCTGTCTCTCTCACTGTCTAACTCTGCCTGTCAACAAACAAACAAACAAACAAAAAAACAAAAAACACAGCTAATGGGGCTATGTGGAGGATTGAATTAGTTAGTTTACATGGAAACTTTAAATCAGGGTATGACGTGTGTACTAAGATTGTCATGAATTTTGCACACCCCCTGTGTGGGTCTTTATCAATGTACATTACTGTAGTATCATTATCTCTTAATGCATCTAAATTCGCCATCAATTTACATTCTACTTGTACCTTACGGCTGCAGATTATTCATTATTTTAAATCCCTAGAACCTAACACATAGTGGGCAATCAATAAAAATTGAATCACCAATTTATCAAATAAAAATGTAAGCTTGCAATATTTAATAATGCTAGAAATCTCAGCTACTCACACTGAAGTGAGTTATCTGTTTATAATTTGCTAATAGTAATACTGATTCCAGAGGACACATTCAATCCACCAGCATCTCTTTCAGAATGTTAGTGCAAATATGAGGAAGCTTCTGTTGTCTTCACAAATTGCTGGAGGAGATAAAAAAATACATGAGACAATTTCTCTGGTCTCTTTCATCTAAAAAAGTCTGTGGTCATATGATTGATGAACCAGCACAGAGCAGATTAGAAACGTGAAGAACAGTCAGACTCAATTTGTAGATGTCCTTCAACTTTCTGATAAGACAATAGAAGTGATTATTGTCTCTTATTTATTTGCTTCCTTAATTGGGAGTAATATATTGTAAAAGAAAAAGAACAAATAATAAAATCCTTATCTCAGTCCATTATCATTTTCTGGGCTATGAATATTTCTTGTCTTTTAAAAATATTATTATGCTGAATTATTTTCCACTTGGTGCTTTAATCGTAAGACTATAAGAAATAATTTGACCTTAACTCAGTAGAGAGAGTATGTAAGTGTAAAAGCAAAAATCTTTCTTAAATGAATTATTTTTTGTTAGCAGAACTAACTGCTAAGGGGAGGACTGCTAAGTGGGAGCAGTTTTGTGATTTTTCTCTCCTTTGTACAATTTTTCCTGACCTCTCATGTGTAATTTATTTTCATAATATTTTATATTCTCCATCTTACTATGTTTGATACATTACCAAAAAAGGCCATATACATATCTAATGCTAGTGATTAAGAATCATTTATGAAAATTTTAGTAGATTTAATTAAAACATTTAAGTGGACAACATGTAAATTACTAATTTGTTTCTTTAATGCCCAGGAGTGGGCATTTGGTCCAGCAGTTAAGGCACTACTTGGAACACCACCATCACATCAGACTGCTTGGTTTCAGTCTCACCTCCACTCCTAATTCCAGCTTCCTGGTATTGCAGACCCCAGGAGGCAGTTTGTAATGGCTCAGGTGGCAAGGTCCCAGACCTGGATTGCGTCTCCGACTTCCAGCATTGGCCCTAAGCCATGGGCAGGTGTGAGTATTTGAAGAGTGAACCAGCAGTTAGACATGTTTCCTCTCTCGCTCTCACTCTCTCTCTCTCTGTCACCCTGTGTGTGCATACTCCTCTCTCTGTTTCTCTGCCTCACAGAGAAAAATAAATAAATTTTAGAAAATCACTTCTAGTTGCTTCTCAAATGGCCAGTTAAATTACTTTTCTACAACAGATTTAGTTGAGTTTATTTTTATTTTTATTTTCTTGTAAAGTGCTTGGGTCCCTGCACCCATGTGGGAGACCAGGAAGAAGGTCCTGACTTTGGATCAGCCCAGCACCAGCTGTTACGGCCATCTGGAGTGTGAACCAGTGGATGGAAGACCTTTATCTCTGTCTCTCCCTCTCTCTGTAACTTTACCTCTCAAATAAATAAGTAAATAAAATCTTTTTAAAAAAAGAGATCGTTTTCTGTTGTATCTCTAATTTCAGTTTCATTTAATTTCTTAAAAATTTATATTAAAATATTCAAAAAGATAAATGGATGCATGATGTTCTTAAATACTTTTTTTTCCTTATTGTCTGCAAGTAACTTGAGAATGCCATTCAACTATGCACATTTAAATCAAGACTTATCCATAGAAACAGAAACTGTGTGTGTGTGTGTATGTGTGCTTGTGTGTACATGTTCTAATCTACTCAAGCAAGAGTTCTTAAAATAACACTATTCAAATTGTTCTCTATTTGCAATAACACAGAGAAGCATGCTTCTATACCTCCAATATGCAATAACTTATTTGGACTAAGAAGCTCTCCGAAGTGAGGACTCGAAAAAAACAGAGTATACTTCAGAAAGAAGGTAGCTTCTTCTTAAATAATTATTGATAATTAAATTTGCCTGATAAAAGCCACCATGACTGTACGGGACACACAAGGCATTAAATACAGATGTAAACATAGTATGCATGCATTTAACTGAGGCTTGAGTTGGCTGGGTTCCAGCAAAAAGAAGTATCCATCCATTTGTTTGTTCGTTTTCCTGATATGCATTCAAAGTAGTTGACTTTTCATCTGTTATTCTGGTTCTCTTATTTAGCATTACCTACAAATTCAAGGAGCCATGGAAATTCCTGCAGGATCTGTTCCATTCATGGAAGTCGGGAATGGAGAGAGAGGAGTGAGTCCTAATGAAGCCGTGCAATACAATGCAATGGATATCATGGTGCAGTTGGTGTGGCGCTCTGGGACAGCATACTGCTGTCAGCATTTGCTCTGGGAATTTTCTATCTCTAATGTCCCTTTGCTTTTCTAAGGTCCTCCTACCCCAACACCTTCCCTTTCTTGACCTAGCTTGTGAAGATAACATTCTGATCCTATTTTGTCTCTTCTTTCATTGTTATTTCATATCTAGTTGTTTTGTGTTAGAACACTAGAACTCTGCACCATATCTTGCAAAAAAGCTTGCTCTTTGGAGCAAACACAATAGACAATCTGTATGAATTCCTCATAACTAATGTGGTGATATTGGGTTGCCTCAATGCTGCTTAACGGTTTCCTGGAATAATGGCAGACCCATCCCATAGATTCATTATGAAGTCTATATGTAGAGCAATGGATATTGGAGAGCAACTTGGGACTTTTGGGTTCTTATTTTCTCTTTTAGGAACAATGTTTTTGGAAAACAAAGGAAGTAAATCATAAATAGATACAAGGCATGTTTGAAGCTCGGGCATGACCATGCCACAGCTTCAATTGGCTCCTTTAGCACTGGGCAGAATTCTACTCCTTTACTTTGTGTCTTTTTCTAGTAGCTCACCTTGTAATCCATTCTCCCTTCCTTTGTGGTCAGAATATCCTCAGAGGAAGTGTTTGGGCCCTGCACCAGCATGGGAGACCAGGAGGAAGTACCTGGCTCCTGGCTTTGGATCAGCGCAGCGCTGGCCAGAGCGGCCATTTGGGGAGTGAACCAACAGAAGGAAGACCTTTCTCTCTGTCTCTCTCTCACAGTCTAACCCTGCCTGTAAAAAAAAAAAAAAAATAATAATAATAATAATTTCCTCTGATACCACTTTGAGTGTATTATTTTCCATATTTAGAAGCTACAGATACTGCCACTGGCATCTAATCAAAAAGATATTCTCAGACTTACTTTCAAGATTCTGCAAGGAGACCTCAAAAGTTTGTAGATGGGGCTGGCTTTGTGGCACAGTGGGTAATGCTGCTGCCTGCAATGCTGGCATCCCGTATGTGTTCATATTTCAGTCCTTGCTAATGGCCTGGGAAAAACAGAGGAAGATGGCCCAAGTCTTGGACACCTGCTACCCATCTTGGAGACCTAGAAGAAGCTCCTAGCTCCTGGCTTTGGTTTGACTCAGCCCCAGTTGATGGGGCTATCTTGGGAGTGAAAAACAGATGGAATATCTCTGTCTCTCGCTGTGTATCTGTGACTTCAAAATAAGTAAATAAATCTTTTAAAATGTTTGTGAATGAACAGACAAAAAAAAGTGTAGATGGATGTAGAACATAATTTTAATTTTTTTGACAAGCAGAGTGGACAGTGAGAGAGAGAGACAGAGAGAAAGGTCTTCCTTTGCCGTTGGTTCACCCTCCAATGGCCGCCGCAGCCGGTGCATCGCGCTGATCTGATGGCAGGAGCCAGGTGCTTCTCCTGGTCTCCCACGGGGTGCAGGGCCCAAGCACTTGGGCCATCCTCCACTGCACTCCCTGGCCACAGCAGAGAGCTGGCCTGGAAGAGGGGCAACTGGGACAGAATCCAGCGCCCCAACCAGGACTAGAACCCAGTGTGCCGGCACTGCAAGGCGGAGGATTAGCCTAGTGAGCCGTGGCGCCGGCCAGAACATAATTTTAAAATCCACCTACCATGATATACATTTCCATGAGTTCCCTTTTAAAATTTATCTTTATTTGTTTGAAAGGTAAAGAGACAGATCTTCCCTCTGCTAGCTTGCCTCCCAAATACCCACAATAGCAAGGCCTGAGTTAGACATAAGCCAACAGCTCAGAACTCCATCTAGGAATCCCATTTGGGTGTCAGAGACTCAAGATCGGGAGCTGTCGCTTGAGGCCTTCGAGGTTGTGTATCAGCAGGAAGCCGGGATCAGCAGTGGAGCTAAGACTCAAACCAAGGCATTCCAATATGAGATGCAGGCATCTGAACAGGTGTCTTTAGTGCTGTGACAAATGTGCATGATTCCATGAACTTTCTCAAGACCCCTCAAATATGCTTGCCAATGTGGGTGTTGCTGTTACTGCTTCCTTGAGGTGTCTAGAGGTTCTCACTAAAATATGCTACTCAGCATTCTGTGCATGTGGCCCGTGTCCACTTCTCCAGTAGCCCTGCCCTCTCTATGCTACGGTGCCCTCACCTTCCACCTCCACTGATGGATAACCTGCCTGCTTTCAGGGCCTGTCTCGGGTGCCAGACCGATAGAGGCTGTTTTCATCACAGTTCCAACAGTTCTTGGCAATTCAGAATTGAAAGGTTCATATTGCTCGCTAGGTCATCCCCATTTCATTTTAGGGCAATGATTGCTTCCATTCAGATCTAAAAGGACCTAAATGAGTCTTCCTCTCCTGAATGCCACATCACTTTTAGGAAATTTACTGACCACATGGAAGCCGCATGTGCACCTTTACAGCTCCTGTTACAGACGGAATCACACCCCTTGCACACCTCTCCTCGGCCCTTCTGAATGCCTCTTCACCAGTTTGATTGAATGTTAAGATAGAACCTTTTTTTAATTTGGAATTTTTTCATGTTAAATTTATTCCTGAGTCATAGTTTCTGTTCCTTTAGTTCCTTCTGGGATATTGTTTACTTCTGTGCCACTTCCTTTGCTGGTTTAGAAACAATTTGTTCCTTTTCAGTGAAGATCATCTCAAAATGGCACGGGGAGCTCATGCATGGGTTAATCTGACCATGGGCTCTGTAGGTACAGCAGCTCCTCTTGGGGGCCTTACTCACCTGGATGTGGTCAACGACCAGAGAATCTGCATCCAAACCCTTCAGCTCAGCATCACCCTCTGCATTTTTAAGAACGTGCAGCAGAAACCCGGCACTCTTTTTGGGCCACCCACCTTGTGTCCGGCCCTACTGCTTGGCCTGGTCCCACTACCAACTCCACCACTGTATGTACGGAAGGGCACACATTGCTCCTTTAGTGTGACATCTTTCAAGTATTTGGTGGCTTTTCAGATGTGCATACCCTTGATGGCCTGGGAAGTCTCTCAGGTGTTCTTAAAGAGAACACAAAGATTTGACACTCTTGATTTGCATGATTTTGAGGGGTTTTCTGGGACAAGTGGGCAGCAAACCATTTTCGCACATCACCTTATTCACTTACAAGAATAACCAGATAGAGCCTTTAATACACAATTAAAGTAAAATGAGATCATAAGGGTGGATCTTTTATCTGATAGAACTTTTATAAGAAGAGGAAGAGACACCAAGGATGGTAGTGCAGAGAAGAAAGGCCATGTGAGGACGCAATGAGAAGACAGCCATCCGCAATCAAGGGAGAGCAGCTTCAAGAGGAGTGCCGCCCTGCAGACACCTGGTTCCTGGACTTGCAGCCTCCAGAACTGTAGGACAATGGTACCTGCTGTTTATCCCAGCCTGTGGTATTTTGTTCTGGCAGCTATAGATGATTGAGGCAGCTCCAGTATGAAATTAAAAGTATCTTGGTAATACAGAATTTGGGAGCAAGACTCTGGTGTATGGCTTAAAAAATGTTCAATGTCAGAATTTTAGTAGTAATGATACTCCACACACACACATGCACACGACTCAGAGACACACATTCTCACCTTTAGCTGATGCATGAAATCATATCCATTTCCATTCTTTCCTTTAGGGCACTGCTTTCTCATAATCGTTTTACTTAGACATAAATTATCTTCCAAATTAGAAATATCTGGCTTTCAAAATTTAAATATCAATCTCTCTAGGTGAATTTTCTCTTCTTTTCTGCTTTATAAGTAGGTTCAGGTGCCCCACAGAGTGTCACATTTGTCTAGATAATGAATAAATATCATTTGACTATAAATATGATATGAACCTCTTTGAAACAGATTTCCTTGTCAAGTTATTTGTTTTAAACAAGTCTCATTTCAATGACAAGAAATGTAAAACAGGTACTGTTTCAAATAGGCCAGATAGACACCATTTATCATAGATTAAAATGTATTTATATTATGGACAAATGGATTATCATTGAAGTAGAAGTGATGGAGCGAAGTATCTGGAAACATTATGACATTGTTTTATTTGTCAGAAAAAAAAAGCATGCAAATTAAAACCTCTTCGCCCCTAAATCAAGGTTTTTTTTAAAAGGAAATAAATGTCCTCAACCATCGCGACCTTATTTGAAGATTTCTAATACAACATATTCCTTATTTCCTTCCTTGCATAGAGCACAATTATTTTCTAAATGAATGGCATTGCTGAGCTGGGGATGGCATGTTGTGGACCTAAAATATCATGACCTATACCAGGTGTAACGTATCTTTCGAGTCCAAAGATTTGCCACCTGCATCAACTTCACACCCCACCTTAAACATGTGCTCCCTGGCTACTCCATGGTGTCCTCATCAATGTGAAGTATTTTAAGCATTAAGATTTTATTTAGTTAATGTCACAAGGATCAGAAGCTTTTTGGGATAATCAGATTCAGTAATGACCAATCTGGACTGGTTTTCAAATGGTGAAATATTATTATCTTGATAATTCAAGCCAATCCCTGACAAAAGAATCTAAGATAATATTTAAAAAAACAGAAGTTTCTTTTGTATATGTGCTTTGGCCTTTCTCAATGTTATAATGTTATAAAATATCCTCATGTTGACTTACTGTACATTGATTTTAACAGCCATTCTTCACAGAGCAATATGAATATCATTGGAAACTGCATAATGCAATTTTCTACCCCTGAATGCTATAGAAAACAGCACATTTTATACTGACATGTGCCCCATCAATAATAGAGTTTTTATATCTTATTTGTAGCTATTGATCTCAGCAGCATAATAAAAAATTGATTGCACCAAAGTGTACCATTTCTTAAATATAAATTTCAGTGTCAAATTATTTTTATCTATGCTTCCCAATTATACATGAAACTTACACATTTATATATGTTTGCTTCCTCAAAATTCTACCACTGTAAATTAGGTAGGACAAGAATCTACTGAATCAATAGAAATCAGGTCTCTCACACTAAAATGTGATTCTAAAATTAAACATGCTAGTTTCATCTCTTCATTATGAAGGGAATTAAAGTCTCAATATATAGTATCATCTTCCTATGCAATTTAACAATTTGAAATTAGGTCTTAAATCTTCTGAGGGTATGAATACACACGCATACACACACACACACACACATAGAAAATATATGCACCCAGAAATTCATGCACTCATTTGGTAGTCCACATGATACTCTAAACAAGGTACCTGCTCCTAGTTATCTCTTGAGACCTTATTATTTTAGAAGGAATACTCTGCTAGCAAAATCAATGGGTGTAAGTTCTGACAAAAAATAAGAAGGAACGATACTCCTCAGTGGTCATCCCCAAGTCCAATGTCACAGACATGAAATGAGTTAGGTCAGAAATTCAGAAACCAAAACAAAATCTACAAACAGCAAGAAAGGTTTCAGAGGATAAAAAAATTCACTTCTTAAGTTAATTTTTCCTTTTTGTACTATTTTGAATTGAAATTATTAATTAAAAATTTCATAGGTTTCCTTAAGATATGTAAATTTGAACACATAACTATACTGTTTAGTGAAATTGATTAACAGCACAAGCAAAATATATAATAAATATATATGCACATAATTCTCTGGATGAAAAACTTTTTCAGCATTTGTATTAAAATAGTAATATTACTATTATGGTAATAGTAATATTAATAATTAGGGGTAATGTGCCTTGTAAACATGATAATTAGCCTCAGACCCATTCATTGATAGTAACGACTGGAAAATTATTTTACCCCTTCAACTTTGTCCAAGAATTTATAACACCCTTGAATCAATACCACCAATTTAGCCGTGGAATTTTGGAGGTGTAGAATATTATTCTTTCTTAAATAGATATATTTATTGCTTCTCAGCCTTTTGGCTATGATCAAGCATAAATAGGCACATTTGGATCTAATTTACATACCATAAAATCTATTTGTTTTGATGGTACTATCCAATTTCAATATTGCAGAATTGTGCAACCACCACTGAAACAGTATTTTAAAGCATTTACACAGTCTCTAAATATATCCCATAGCTGTACCCAGCCGCTCACCTTTCTCCTAGCCTCCGACAACCACTAAAGCAGTTTCTATCCAGGGGCTGGCGCCGTGGCTCACTTGGTTAATCCTCCGCCTGCGGTGCCGGCATCCCTTATGGGCTCTGGGTTCTAGTCCCAGTTGCTCTTCTTCCAGTCCAGCTCTCTTCTGTGGCCCGGGAAGGCAGTGGAGGATGGCCCAAGTGCTTGGGCTCCTGCACTTGCATGGGAGACCAGGAGGAAGCACCTGGCTTCTGGCTTTGGATCGGTGCAACGCTGGCCATGGCGGCCATTTGGGGAGTGAACTAACAGAAGGAAGACCTTTCTCTCTGTCTCTCTCTCTCACTGTCTATAACTCTACCTGTCAAATAAAAAAAAATAGTTTCTATCTATAAGATTTCCCTATTATGGACATTCCGTATAAATGTCATTACATAACACGTGACCTTGGATGTACTTCTTTCACTGATCATCATCTTTTCAAGGTTCACATTGTAGCATGGATCAGTACTTCATTCCTTTTAAATATTTATTTATTTATTTGAAAGGAATAGTTAGAGAGAGAGAAATCTTCCATCTGCTGGGTCACTCCCCAGATGGGCCAATTCAAAGCAGGAGCCAGGAGCTTCTTTCTGGTCTTCCATGTGGATACAAGGGCCCTAGGACTTGGGCCATCTACTACTGCTTTCCTAGGTCATAGCCGAGAGCTAGATCAGAAGTGGAGTAGCTGGGACTTGAACTGTCGCCCAAATGGGATGCCGGCACAGCAGGCAGTGGCTTTACCCACTACGGCACAGTGCAGAACCCCTTTTCATTCCTTTCTGTGGAAGATTAACACATTGATTATTCAACACACCATATTTTGTTTATCCATTTGCCAATTGGCAGATATTTGGGTTGTTTCCACATCTTCATTATATGAATAATTCTGCTGTGAAGAGCAGTGTATGAGCTTTTGTGCGGACATGTTTTCTCTTCTTGTGTGTGTGCATCCGTGTGTGTGTGTATGTGTGTGTGTGTGTTTATGAATGGAGTTATTCATTCTTATGGTAAACCTATGTTTAATTTTTTGAGGAACTAAAATTGTTTCCCAAGTTGTTGTGACATTTTACAATTTCACCAGCAGTGGAACAAGATTCCAATTTCTCTATACTCTTGACAGCAGTTTTATTATTTCTGTGTTTTGCCATACTAACCAATGTGAAGTGGTATGTTGTGATTTTGATTTACCTTGTCCTAATGAGGTGATGTCAAATACCTTTTCAAGTACTTATTGGCCATTTGTGTGAATGTTCCAGGTTTTTCTATAATTTTAAAGTTGTTATTTTCTTTTTATGATAGAATTGTAAGTTCTTTATATATTTTGGACACAAGTCTCTTATCAGATATATGTTTTGAAAATGTCTTCTTCAGCAAATAATGCCTACAGTCCAAAGTTCTACCACTGGGCATAGTAAACGAAATGGCAATTCCACGCCAAGTGGAGCTGGAGCTTCAGCTCTACAGCACAGTTGACTACAATAGGACTTTGGATGATGTGAAACAGAAGTGCGACACAGACAGCTACAGGCTGAATTCCTGTTGTAGTATCCCAATTTTCAATTTACTTAGCAGACGCTTCAGAAAACTGTCAAGTGTCAAAGTCTGTAACGTGTCGACAAAAATCTGTGAAAAAGTGTAAGTAAATGAATTGTAGAGAGAAATGTGCAGTATTAAAGACACGGATCTTTAGAGGGAGGCTGAAGTGCTACAGCAACTGAGTATGAGAAAACTAGCAGATTTGACTGAGGGGAAGTCATAATTGTAGCACTTTGCTATTGACAGATGGGGACCCAGAAGGTAGCTTGGAGTCAAAACAGAGCACCAAACACAGGAATAACTTGTGAAAGAGTAGATGAGATCAAATGCATGTTTATAAAAAGATAATTATTTTAGAAGAGGCTCTAAATAAAGGTTCCTCAGCTGTGAGAGTTCAAAGCAACAATTATTTTCATTCTCTTAATTTTCTGCTAGTGACATTGATGGTCCAGTAAAAAGCAGAAGCATTTTACTGCTTAATTGTACCTCGCTGTCTGCAAGAAATGACTATTCTGGGAAAAAGTTAAAACCAATTAAGAAGTCACCACTACGTATAGGTTTGGAGCTCTATTCTCATCATATATTCCTTCATTCATTTCATTAGCACCTCATGAATAATCTTACATATCTGGATTTTTACTAAATATTTGGAACAAAAAATTACCCATATCCTCTCTCAGTTTATAGTTTAGTGGAAGAGATAAGAAATAAAATGATTCCATATAGCACAATTTATAGTCCCCAAAGGCAAACTACAGATACTGGTAAGTCATGAGACAGTTTGGTCAAGGAAGTCAGTTGAACTAGGAGTTGATCCCTTGCAGGTAGGATGTGTGTCTCCCTGTGATGATCCTCCAAGATCTTGATGGAAAAAGACAAAACTTGTGCATTCAGAGACTTGGCTGGACGAGTATGAAAATACTATGAAGCAGAGTTGAGAGGAAAATACTAAATCATGATGATGACTCCTTCACTTCCAACAAAAGGAAACCTCAAACCCTGATGCCACATTGTGTTGGTTTAAATTTTGACTCTCAGCTGATGTGTGATGTTTCACAAGCTACTATATTTCCCTGCTCCTAAAAATTTTGCATTATATAAAGGAGATGAGAATAGCACCTGGATTACAAGTATGCAAGTGTATTGAATATGAATAAACACTTAGAATTTTAGGGGACAGGATACGGATTATAGGAAGCATTCTAATGATGTTTATCTCATTTAAAATGTAGACTTGGAGAGTTTCTTGAGAAACTTATGTATGTGTATGTTACTGGGGGAGGAGGCGTGTATGATGGAGGCCAAGGAACTCACTCTTTATGGGCTTTTACAGCATAGCTGGCAAGGAAGAAAATCCACCACCCGTAACCTTAGGAAGAGGGCATCTGTGTTTGCCTGGAGCGATTGCCAAGTGACATTTGTGGAGGAACTGTTTTCCTTCTTTCATTCCACAGAAATGTCTTGACAGCCTACTCTAAGTCTCATTACTGTGTTTTCCTTCCTTGGTGAAACTTATGTTTATAGGGATTTGTCCTCCTTGTTTACCTGTGCATGATCTATCTTTCTGCACAAGAGCAGAGACACTCTGAGTGCAATGTTGCCTGTAGTTCTATCCCCAGGGCTGAAAACCAAGCATCACACATCATGGGTGGGTGATAAAAATTTTATGAATGAATAAGGTTCACGAATGTGTTAGTATTCATGGAGGTTGCTGTGTATTAGCCCACCTCTGGATGGGAAGAGGTATGTAGAAATGTTAATTCCAGCTCAAGATTAGATTAGAAAGACTCAGCATGTCCACACCCTCCCAATGAAGAGCAGCTGTCCGAGTTGCCTGTGAGGTTAGTACACTAAGCACCAGCACAATATTGACTGGTTTGTTTTTCCTCAAATAGACTCATGTAACATCTGGGCTCATATAGAGACAAGCCATGTTATACTAGGGCGATGTATAACTCAGATGTTTGCATTCTGTGTATATCAGATTGAATATGCCTCTCCTTCTGTGTGGATGATATGCTTAGTGCTAACAGCACTTACTAGAAAATTAACTTCACCACTCAATGACTAAGTTCATATTGGCATTCAAATATCCAAGTGTTCTCCTAGATGTCTCTTCAGAAAAACAAAAGAGCAAAAATGTCAAAACAGTGTTGTCTCCTAAGATTTCATTTACATTGTTTGTATTTTTTAGGTTGAAAATAGGTATAGATGACTTTCCTCCACTGTACAATGCTTAAAAATTTTTCTCTACCATTCTAAACAAGAGAATACTAGGACACCCTTTATGGATCTTTAAAAGGCCTTCAAAGTTGCATTTAAATTTGTTTTGTATCACACTGAAAGTTGTATCAGGCTTTCCTCTGATCAGATTCTCACTCTTTTGTGATTAGTAATTTGTCAAACATGAAAAATAAGTGCCAGACATTGTAATAAGAATCTCAAATCTGGTTTGGCAGTCCTGAGAGGCAGGCATTACTATCTGGCTATGGAAACTATGTCAAACCTTAAGTGAGCTGCCCAATTCTTGCAGCTAATAAGGTGATATAACTCAAAAAATCAACCTGGGTCTCTCAGACTGTAAAATGGGTGCCCTTAAGTAATACACAATAATGATTTTTGCTGTTTGCTTTTCTTAGTCCATTAGTTCACTTGATTTTCAAAATCCTAACCATTGATCGCTTTTCTTTATTATACTTTGTTTTTTCAGCCACTTCTGACTGTTTAAAATTAAACAGAACATCGCAAATGCAGAAATTAAGCTATTTGGTAAGCACTCAGGTAGGACTATCTAAATCCTCTGGGGCTTTTGGAAGTTCTCTTCTACCCCATTCCACTCCTCTCAAAGATTTCCTCTGCTTATCTTCAAGGACATCTCCACCCAGCCTGAACCCCCAAACACCCGTTCCAGCCAAGTCAGGGCTGTTCCTCTCACACTCACCACTTAGGGTGCTGTATTGTGGGTCATCACAAACCGCGACAAGAATGACTTTGCCCAGATTTCCAAAGTTTTGATTAAAATTCTTAACAAAATCTAAAACAATATTCAGTTTTGTCCTTTGTAAAATTGCAGCAGTGTCACTAGACTCAGTTATCTGTGGCTTGACTGTTTCCTCTAATTCTTCTGTGAACTTACCCTGAGAACTATTTTGAATACTTCTGAACTTTTCTCCCTTCTCCATAACTTCTTTTCTCTGACAATTTTTTGTCCTTCAGTTCAAAACACGAGCATGTCATGATAAATTTTTCAGCGACATTCATAAAAAAGGAGCTATGTATCCCCGCCAAACATTTTGTAATTTTAGTGTCATTTCTTCTCTACTAATAACAGGTTCTTTTATTTTTACTTTTTTAAAAAAAATTAAAAGATTTTTTTTATTTATTTGAGAGTCATACAGACAAGGAGAGAAGGGGAAAAAAGAGAAAGAGATCTTCCATCTTTGATTCACTCCCTAGATGACCAAAGCGGCCGAGCCTGGGCCAGGTCAAATATGGGAGCCAAGAATTCTATTTGGGTCTTCCACCTGGGTGGCATGGACCATCTTCCACTGCTTTCCCTGGTGTACTAGCAGGAAGGTGGATCAGAAGCGAAGTAACCATAACACAAACTGACACTCCAATATGGGTGCTGCCGTTGCTGGTGGTAGCTTAAATCACTGTGCCACTATGCCTGCTCAAGAATCTTCTCTTTCTAATCTCCCTCTCCAGAGCTGAACAGATTAACATTGATGCATTTTATTGACATGATACAAAGATGTTTCAAACAGCCTGCTTTACTTTTTCATTTTACTTGGTTCATTTTTCCTAAGTCTTTTGCTTCGTTTCCTCCAGAAATCTCTTTTACATTAATGATGCATCAAAGGCAAAAATGAAGCTCTTCTTCTGAACAAAGGAACACAGGGTATCTTATTAAATAGTATCTTATTGACTATGGGAGGAAGACTGCCTTCAAAAGGACAGAGCTTTTCTTGAAGAAAATTAGTATTTACTATAATATTAAATAGGGGACAATGCTAATACTGTTAGTGATCAAAACTTTTAACTATTTTTAAGCCAGCGATTCTTCAGATATGTCCTGGCGACCAGACCCAGGGATCCTCAGTCCTTATTAATGTGGGCAAGCATCTTCTGCCATTGTTCAGTCTTTCACAAAGAATGGGAAGCACAGCATAGTGCAATCCAAAAGAATATGAAACGTTGTCATTTCCAAACTGTTTTCTAAAGAACACGGTACTAAAGCATGCGACTTTGCTGGTTGGGACAAAGTGGGAGTTGTTTTTAATCCAACACATGAAACATTGGCTAAAGTTCAATCAGTTTCTTTAACCCAAGGATCTCTTTGGGTTTCTGACAAGCTAAGAGCTCTGTGAGGCTCCAAGGACTGGAAGTAGTGACAAAGAACTCCTCAACAGTAGAGTATTTACTCTATAGGGGCACTTTATGGAGTGGTGTTACTCACAAAGCACTCTGGGAAACAATTCTCTGACTTCACCAAACATTTCCTCTGTTTTCGGCAAGGCCATAAGGATGTTTTCTACCTCTATTATTTCACTTTGGCTCTTAAAGATTTTCACTTTTTCTTTATGTTTAAGACATCAGCCCTTCTGAAAAGCATTACCACAAATAGGGTCACTTGCTACCCAGTTGTGTCCACTCTGCTTATTGCTTCTCTATACAACTTTCACTGTGATCCATGAGGGAACTTCATATCAGGTTATGTTACCAGCAAAAATGATGCTTTTCTCCAACTTCAATATTTTTGTTTCCAATACATGCAACATTGTTTATTATTCTATTTGTGTTTGTGTACACATGTGCTGGCTACTGCTGGATAAAAAGTCAGCATACTGTCACTTCGGCATTCTGTACCAAAGTCCTGGTTCAAATTGCAGCTACTCTGCTTCCATCTCCCTGTTAATGCATCTGGGAAGGCAGAAGATGTGGGCCCAAGTACTTGGACCCCTATTACTTGTGTTTGAGACCTGGATGGAGCTTCTGGTTCCTGGCTGTTGACTTTAGCGTGGTCCAGCCCGGGCTCTTATGGGTATCTGGGGAGTGACTCACAGAAGGAAGTTCTCTGTCTCTCTGACTTTCAAATAAAAATGAATGAATGAATAAATAAATAATCTTAATTAAAAAGAAAATGTAGTTAGGACCACAACTGCTGTATCTGTACTGAATGCATACAGACTTTTTCTTTGTTGTTATGACTCCTTGAACAATAAAGTATAACAACTATTTACATAGCACTTACTTTGTATTAGGAATTAAGAGTAATCTAGAGATGACTTAAACTATGTGAGAGGGGGTATAGTTTATATGCAAACACAATATCATTTTACATAAGGGACATGAGCATCTATGGATTTTGGTATCCACTGGGGTCCAGGAATTGATGTCCCACGGATACTGAAGGATGACTAAGCTAATATACTATGAATACAGAAAACAACGAAAGTTCATAAAGAGGCTGGAATTGGAAATGGAGTCTGGACCTGAGCCCTGGCATCTCTATATGGTAAGCAAACATCCCAAGTGATATCTTAACTGCTGTGTCAAATGTCCACCATAGAATACAGATTTTTTAATTGAAAATCTTCCAGATAATTTTAATTATCACCTTTAGTTAAATCCTACTCTTTTAGGGGCAGGTGTTGTGGTGTAACATGTTAAGTCACCATTTGGAATGCTGTATCCCATATAGAGGTCCTGTCCCAACTATTTATATATTGTAGGGGTGCTGCCTGGACCATGGCTGCACAAAAGTGCTGGACGGCCATACCTGCTTCTGCAAGGATGTGTCACACACCACTCCCACCCATAGCTCACTCATCAACAGTAGCTGTATGGAGCCCCCGAATGAAAAGATGCTAGAAAATGTGCAAGAGAACTTGCATTTTTGGAAAGCAATAAATATCTCTGTCATATTTGTTTTCAACAACTTTTCCAGATTTGTTTAAATGACATAGACCTCTTTTATTCGCTTCAGTACACATCCTTAAGGCTCTGCTGGAAATTTTGACCTCATTACAAAAGAAGTCTTCAGAAAGTAAATGGAAGGGTCGACCCTGTGGCATAACGGGTAAAGCCGCCGCCTGCAGTGCTGGCATCCCGTATGGACACCAGTTCGAGTCCAGCTGCTCCACTTCCGATCCAGCTCTCTGGATGGCCTGGGAAAGCAGTAGAAGATGGCCCATGTCCTTGGGCCCCTGCACTCACATGGGAGACCTGGAAGAAGCCCCTGGCTCCTGGCTTTGGATTGGCTCGGCTCTGACTGTTGAGGCCAATTGGGGAGTGAACCAGTGGATGGAAGACCTCTCTCTAGCTCTGCCTCTTCTCTCTTTGTGTAACTCTGACTTTCAAATAAATAAATAAATATTTTTTTTTAAAAAAGTAAGTAAATGGAAATGCATACTGTGAAAATAAACTTACCTTTTAACTCTGTTTTTCCACAAATGTTTTGAAGTCCTTTCATACTTCCAACTTGGCATGTTCCAGAGTCCTCTCTCACTCCTGATCTTCCTATTTTAATCTGGGGAAGACTGTCAATTTTTACTCCAACTCTCTCATCCTGGATTGAATTTTGGTTCTTCCATTAGCAAGTCAAAGATTTGCTACCCCTGAAACGTTATTCTAGTCCATTCTTATTCCTACCATCAGATAATGACTATTTTACCTTTAGTCCTCAACAATATTGCTTGCCTGGGCAAACTCAATTGTCTTTTTACTGTTTTTCTTTCACTATGCCCTTTCAATTGTGACAGGGTGATATTCTTAGATACAAAATGCATCATGTGAGTGCTCTGTGGAAACTTTTTTCAATGATTTTTAAAAGTTCCAGAATGTTGTGGAATAGGCTTGAGGATAGCTTATGTGGCTCACCAACACCTTTTTTTTTTTTTTTTTTTTGACAGGCAGAGTGGACAGTGAGAGAGAGAGAGACAGAGAGAAAGGTCTTCCTTTGCCGTTCGTTCGCCCTCCAATGGCCGCCGTGGCTGGTGCGCTGCGGCCAGCGCACCGTGCTGATCCGATGGCAGGAGCCAGGTGGTTCTCCTGGTCTCCCATGGGGTGCAGAGCCCAAACACTTGGGCCATCCTCCACTGCCTTCCGGGGCCACAGCAGAGAGCTGGCCTGGAAGAGGGGCAACCGGGACAGAATCCGGTGCCCCGACCGGGACTAGAACCTGGTGTGCCGGCGCCTCAAGGTGGAGGATTAGCCTAGTGAGCCGCGGCGCCAGCCACCAACACTTTCTTTACACCCCACCTATTTGCTCACCAAATGAAGGACTCTTAATAAAGACATCCACAAGAACAAAGAGTGCTATTTATTTAGGTCCTGAGAACAATGAAGGGAGAAATAGAACTTATATCATAGTTCCTTTCTCACAAGGCAGATAGACTTAAGGACCTAGGCATTCCTTGCCAAGATGATGTGGTGAGTGATGAATGTGATATACATGAACACATGTTGGACTACCTCAGTCAGGTGTCTGTTTTATAGATGAGTAGGATTTCAAAAAAATATTATTTGAAAAATCTGATGTATGTTGCTCTGTTGTCACTTTTTGTATTCAAAATGATCATGTATGGTACATTTTGCACACTCGTACAGAAGTTGGCGTTTATCTCATATTGGTATATCTTCTAGTACAAACTTAGATGATTGGAAGCAAGTTGAACAGACTCAACACAATTCTCTGGTTATGTATCATTGATTAAAGAAAAAAGTTACTTGTAATGCACAGTGAGTTTAGTAAAAAAGAATAATATTACAAATATAACCTAAACATAGCATTATCTTTTTCAATTTCTTTGCAATTAGAAAATATCCAGTATGTGTTCATGGACATGTATATGTATGTATATATAAATAGGCACATACATGTATGTGTACATAGTTGTGATGATTTGCATATTACTTTGGATGTCTCTCAGAGGTTCACATGTTAAAGACTTGGTCTCCAAGCTATAGCTATTAGGAGGAGTTGGAACTTTCAGGAGGTGGTCACTGGGGCCATGCTCCAAAGAAAGCTGAGAGCCTGGGCGGGGGTGAGGGCGGGGTGGAAACTATCACTTTGTTTCTGATTCTGTATGTAGAAAATACATTAAATTTGCATTCCTTAAATAAAATTAAATTAATAAATTAATAATAAAGAGTTTAAAAATGTAAAAACCCCGAATGTGGGCTTAGTTTGTCATTCTTCCTGGCTCGACATGTAATTCGTTTTTCTGCGTGAGCTTTGCCAAGCTCTCTGCCACCCCCACCAGAGCCCAAACCAGTGAGCCTTTTAATCTTGGACTTAAGTCTTCTAAACTGAGGGCTAAAT